ACACTTAAAAGACATGGGCCCTGATTCTTCTTTGTCACTCAAACAACTTACTCTAAAACTGACGTCACTGTTATGCCTATTGACGGGTCAAAGATGTCAAACGTTGAGTAAACTTGACACGCTATATATACATAAACGTACCGATCGGTACATTTTCACTATCAATGAAATTATCAAAACATCTAAAACGGGACGACACATAGCGCCAATAGAACTATTAGAATATACAGTTGACAGACAACTCTGTATTGTTAGCCTTATAACCATGTACGTAGAGAAAACCAAGGCAAAACGGAAGCCGCAGGTTTGCAGGTTACAAACTGTATTACATCAGAAGTCAATAAATATCAGACAACTACTAACTATAATGCTAACACGATGCATTCTTTTTTGTTTCATACGAATGATACCTCTCTGAGCTCGCTAAACTTATAAACCGGCGTATATAGGACTTTAAAATCTTATGTGTCTCCATAGTGACGTAGACTGATGACGTGATATAATTTAAAATTCAACGATACTTACCTGTAAGTCGATCTTTGTAATCAGTCAGGAACGAAGGAGTAACATGCCCTACCCTGGGTAATTGTGGCCCAGCAAACTAGCAATGCAGCACTGAATTTCAAACTAATATTCTCCCATTTCGGATATTAAAACATAAATGCAATTATAATCGTTGATCAAATCTGTACATGTTCCATTTTGACATGGATTACTTGCGCATTCGTCGACATCTATTCAGAGCAAAGAAGTCACAGCAAAATTTTTCATTGTGTGTTACATAATTTTATCGTCATTGACTCACCAATTGAGCAATTTCGTCCGGTGTATCCAGGCACACAGCTACAATTATAGTCGTTGATCAAGTTTGTACATGATCCATTATTTTGACATGGATTACTTGCGCATTCGTCAATATCTATTCAGAACAAATAAGTTACAACAAGGTTTTTCGTTGTGGCTTACACATTTATATGGCGTTTGACTTACTAATTGAACAATTGCGTCCGGTATATCCAGCTAAACATATGCAATTATACGATGGAGTACATGATATCATTTGGGTGCATGATGTTGTTGGGGTACATAATGTTGTTGGGGTACATGATGTTGTTGGAGTACTTGACGTCGTTTGGTTACTTGATGATGTTGGGTAACTTGATGTCGTTGGAGTACATGATATCATTTTACATGATATCATTGGGTAGCATGATGTTGTTAGAAAACGTGCTGTCGTAGGGGTACATGATTTTGTTGGGGTACTTGATTTCTTTGGGTCACTTGATGTCGTCTGAGCACTTGGTGCCAATGGAGTACTTGATGATGTTGGAGTATTTGATGTCGTTGGAGTACATGGTATCATTTTACATGATATCATTGGGTAGCATGATGTTGTTAGAGAACGTGATGTTGTTGGGGTACATGATGTTGTTGGAGTACTTGGTTCCATTGGGGTACTTGATGATGTTGGGTAACTTGATGTCGTTGGAGTGATTGATGTCGTTGGAGTACATGTTATCATTTTACATGATATCATTGGGTAGCATGATGTTGTTAGAGAACGTGATGTTGTTGGGGTACATGATGTTGTTGGAGTACTTGGTTCCATTGGGGTACTTGATGATGTTGGGTAACTTGATGTCGTTGGAGTGATTGATGTCGTTGGAGTACATGTTATCATTTTACATGATATCATTGGGTAGCATGATGTTGTTAGAGAACGTGATGTTGTTGGGGTACATGATGTTGTTGGATTACTTGGTTCCATTGGGGTACTTGATGATGTTGGGTAACTTGATGTCGCTGGAGTGATTGATGTCGTTGGAGTACATGATATCACTTTACATGATATCATTGGGTAGCATGAAGTTGTTAGAGAACGTGATGTCGTTGGGGTACACAATTTTGTTGGAGTACTTGATGGGGCTCGAATATTTGCTTCCATTGGGGTACTTGATGATGTTGGGTAACTTGATGTCGCTGGAGTGATTGATGTCGTTGGAGTACATGATATCACTTTACATGATATCATTGGGTAGCATGAAGTTGTTAGAGAACGTGATGTCGTTGGGGTACACAATTTTGTTGGAGTACTTGATGGGGCTCGAATATTTGCTTCCATTGGGGTACTTGATGATGTTGGGTAACTTGATGTCGCTGGAGTGATTGATGTCGTTGGAGTACATGATATCA